CACCCATTGACTACATTGGCACTTAACAGCTTCAAACAAAGATTATAAACTCAGGACCGATCACTAGTGACCTGCTTAACAACTGCAGGGACTTATGGCCTAATTGTGATTCTAAATAAAGGATGTTATCAGATACTATCTGCAGCATATAGTACTGCAAGAGTGTTTTTGGTGACTTTGGCCAGCATAATGCTTTCACTTGGAGGAAGTTGCTGGCACTCCAAGTTGAACTTTTGCAACGTGTCATATTTTAGAATACAGATTTTTGGCCAATGTCACAACAAAAGCCACTTTCCAAAGGCTTAGTCATTCAAAAGCCAGGTATTTTGGTTCTTTTGTTTGTATGTATGAGAGTCAATTTGGTGTGGTATTAAGACATCAGGCTGGGAAACTGAGTTCTAGTCATGCCTTAGGCCCAAAGCCAGTATGACATTGTCTCACAGGTGATATGCCATGCTATTTTTAGTGATACACCAGGCTTACGGACCCTCTGGAAGTCATGCGAGAGGACCCTGCTATGGGGCAGCCTCTGGAGCCTCCAAAAATTGTGTGACACTTCAAGGCCACAGAAGAGGTTTCTACAAAGTTTCCTGACCTCATGCAATCTGGAACTGGTTCAAATAGGTATTTCAAAAAAATATTTACAATTATGTAAGTTTTTATTTATTAATATATTAAAGTAATTTAATTTATTACTATGTGATGAATTGTTTCCCTTTTGTGTGTGTGTGTGTGTGTGTGTGTGTGTGTGTGTGTGTGTGTGTGTGCGCAACACACCAGTAGAATTCTTAGGCGTTTTCTGAATTTTTGACACACCAATCTCAAAAAGTTCACCATCACTGGGCCAGTCATTTTCTCTCAGCCCTAGGAAGGAGTCAATGGCAAACCACTTCTGGAAAACCTTGCCAAGAAAACTGCAGGGATTTGTCACCTTTTTGGCACCGAGTGCCCAAACCGGGACGTGCATGTGCGTGCACCGGAGCACCGGAAACCCAAAGACCAGCTGGCTGGCACGCACAGGTCTGTTTTTTTGGCTGGTTTTGGCCATTTTTGGGCCGTTTTCAGGCCTTTTTTCGACCATTTTCAGGCAGTTTCTCAGCATTCCAGCACCACATGAAGACCAGCTGGCCAGAAACTAGAAAAGCAGCTGGTAACGTAGCGCTTGCCCACAGAGAGGGCTCTGTGTGCCACCTCTGGCATGTATGTCATAGGTTCACCATCACGGGTCTAGGAAGTCTGTCCGAAAATCAGACAAGACTGAATAAAACACCATGTATGTATTTGTTCTAGCATGGCTATTTTCCACCATTTTCTTCAGCTGCTTGCTTGGGTAACCTTTTCCAAATTATATCGGACACCACCTTTGAGTCCTTGGAGAAAGCAACTGGAGATCATTTGAATGGGTAAACCAATAAATAAATGCCTCAAGTTCAATCCCCACTATTTCCATTTGAGATGCATAGAAGTCCTCAAGATTTGGTCAGACCCAGATGCCAGGAACTGCTACACAGCAGATAAGCCATCTAGCCTGGTACTGTTTACTCAGTCCTCTGAGATTATAAATTGGTATCTTTTGTATCTCTTGCTCCCCGATTCTTTTCAGCAAGGATTTAGCATGGCTCTTTCTGCAAGAAAAATATGCTACTACTGAGGGAAAGAAATATTGAGGCCAGAAACCAGCTTCGTAGCTACATTAATACTGAACAATTCATCATATCCTTGAGAACATCCCAGAACCGATAGATGTGTGTATTTTAAGAAGAGAAGAAATCTCTCTCTCTCCCCCAGAGTTCTGTTTACACAAAGGTAAATCTGATGTACCATACAGTGTCAACCCTTAGAGAGCATTAAAGCACCAGGATCAGATGGTTCAGTGTGCCTCGGCTGTTTCCTATGCAGTTGACCTTGAAAGATTACATTGTGTCAAACAGACGTACAGATATCTGTAACATTGACGTGTGCAAATGGTCTTTGATAAAAAAAAAAAAATGATGCATGCATTTCAACATCAGTAACTCTGGGAACATCCATTTGATTTTTTTTTTTTAAAAAAAAGCCTCAATCCTGATTCCACAAGACTAGTAACATGATGGAGTAACTAGGGCAGTGATGGCTAATCTTTTTGCAATCGTGTGCCAAAAGCGGGAGAGTGCGGGGGGGAGTCATGTGCGTGTGTGCCCATACCCATAATTCAATGCACCCCGCCCACCCACATGCGTGCATGACACACACTCCTGTGCTCCCCCTGCTTTTGACATGCGATGGCACGATGGGCCCGGTAGGCCTGTTTTTTGCTTTTCCCAGGCTCCAGAGGCTTTCTAGGAGCCTGGGGAGGGTGAAAATAGCCTTCCCCATCCCCCCGGAGGCCCTCTGGAGGTTGGAAACAGCCTGTTTCCTGACTTCTGGGGGACCAGGAAGGCCTGAAAATCAGCTGGCCGGCTCACACATGCGCTTGCAGCTGAGGTAGAGCAATGCTCACGTGCCTACTGATATGGCTCCGTGTGCCACCTGTGGCACGCGTGCCATAGGTTCGCCATCACGGAACTAGGGCCAGAATCTCAATTGAGCCACATATTGTCTTAAGCATAGCAAGGGAACCCAGCCTTTGCAATTTCTAAACCATAGTTTAGAACCTGGTTCCAACTGGCCTGCTGCCCGTTGAGTAGTTTATTCTGAAATCATGGCTAAGCAAATCTTTAATACATTATGAACTTTGTGGTTAATTTAAGCTTGACACACTGAAATAAGAAAACAAAAGCAACTTCTTAGATCTATCAGCCCTGGCTAAAATTGCAAAATGTGTCCACTTACCCACGCTTTACTGAACCACGCTGTACTCATTTAACACCAATACACCCACATGTATCGGTTCACATGACGTACTGAACTGTAAGCAAGCTAGCTATACAAGCTAGGTGAGATGAGCTTGGAGAGTTTGTGGTTTAGCGTTTCGTGAGAGCCCAGCCAACCTCTTAGCATGCTACTGTATGAGCTATAATATGGATTGTTTGGGCACAGCCTGCTGGGTAACACTGTGCATTATTAACCTGGGTTTACTGTTTACTGGGTGTGAATCCAGAAAATATATTATGCACACTGAGTCACTGCCAGTCAGTGTAAACCAAGAAATGCAGCTCACAGAGATCTAAAGATAGATTTCTAGCCCAGGTGATCAACAAGGATTTCAACTTCCATAATACCTGAACAGGTATTGCAACATCCTGCATCTCATTACTGAATTATGCAAATTTGAGGAATTTGATGTGGACATTTACTAGCTGGTTAGCTCAACTGTTAATGTGTTCGCATAACAGGTAAAACCATAAACTAATCACATTAGCTTGATTTGCTACAAACCAACCAAGCACATTTTGGCTGGGGTGTGTGTGATTGGCTAAGGGTTTAGTATGTCATGGGAACTCAGGCAATGATTGAGTAACTCATAGTTAAGGATGTAAACACAGGCATGATTTACCCAGTCGTAATCTAGCCACTGTGAATTATGCTCATTACTGGTTCCAAAAACAAGTTCAAGGTTCAGCATATTTTGGTAATATGTCTCTTCTATTCCAGGGGTCCTAGGAATCTAGTAATAAAAGAGTTTCCCAAATAGGTCCACTACTAAAACAATGAAATGAATGCTATGGCAAGAGATCAAACCAGAGTGTAGCAATACTTAAGGCCCAATTCCAGTTACAAGGAGGAGCTGTTCCTGCATTGAGTCCTCCAAAGGCTTCTGCAGAAGCCAAGAATCTATGCTAAATGAGACGCTCTGGGAAAATGTACCATTAAATCAATTATCTCCACTCCACAATAACATGTGTGTAGCATGTCATGAGGCTGCCCTAGCCAGGAAATCTCCCCCCCCCCCCCCCTTTTTCAGGAGAAGTGCAAAGGGGAGCACACCAAGGTTCATGCAATTTCATTTCACCCTATGGTCAAGATGGACACGAACATTAATCTTGAACGCTGACCCTGAAGCCGATGCAAACTCAGTTTTGCATCCAAGTCTACAAAGCATTGCAGTGTGTGGCCGGGCAATGTTCTCTCTTAGCATTTAGCAGAGGCCACATGTAAAAGACCACCCAATTAATCCTTGCAGAAAACCCTGATTTTTTTCCCACCTACTACAAGAGCTGTGCATTGTCTTTCGTTATAAGGAGGCTAAAAAGGTAAAAGGGTCAAGAAGGGATGGGGGGGCAACTAAGTGAAGGCGGCTTGGACGCCAGGGAAACGTTTTAAGGAGGAGAAAATGTGGCAACCTATCAAATGCACACTAACCAATACACACACACACACACACACAATCTGCCTAGAAACATTCCCATGCTTTCCTCTCTAACTATAGGAGCAGCATTGCTGATTCTACAGCGGAAGGCAGTCCCCCCCCCAAAAAAAACCAGGGTGGGGGTGGGAGAAAGGAGAGAGAGAGAGAGAAAAAAAACCACTTGATTTGCAAGTGTGAAATTAACAGCTTTCCAAATGTGCAAAAGGAGATCTCCAAAACAGCTCTCCTCTCCAATCAACCTTCCACCCCTTTTCTTTCTTTCTTTCCTTCCTTCCTTTCACTTGCAGCTGAGAGATGCACCATTAAAAAAAGAGACAGCAAGAGACAGATGTTCCTTCCCTTTCCCAAACCCACCCACCCACCGACCGGAGCCCTTTTTCACCCGTTTTCATTCTCAGCAAAACATCAATGAGCGCCTACATTCCTCCGCGTCCAGCAAAAAAAAAAAGGGGGGGAGATAATCTAGATTAATCTAGATTATTTCCCCAACGCCATCCTTTTTCTTTGCAACCAGCTACCCCTTTTTTTTTTTTTTTTTTTTTTAAGGCGATGCCAGATCATAAAACGGGGAGGGGGGGTGGGAGAGGAAGGAAATGGGCAGGGGGCAGAGAGGGAAGAATGGAAAAGGGGGGGGCTGTTGGGGTGGGTTTTTAAATCTCCCCTCCCCACATCTTTCCCAGCTCGCTCCGATTCTTCCCCCCCCCCCTCTTACCCTCAAGGCGGACAGATCTATCTCGTCCAAGCTCCGAGCCGGAGAATCACTCGCCATGTTGACGAGAGGGGGGCTACCACCTCCGCGCCCCTGGAGATGGAAAGGAGCGCAAGACCAAGGTTACCGACGCCGTCGCCCGCCGGGGCAGCCTCGGCCAAGTCGTCGGTCTCTCGTACCCGGAGGGAGGAAGGCGTCCTCAGGGCGCTTCTCTCCTCATGCGCTGCGACCGACGGAGGGGAGACCCTCCCCCGGGCACTCTTCCCCAGGCAAGGGCGAAGGGGAAAGCCGGGGCTCGCTCTCCAAACGAGCGCTCAGGAGGGGGGGGGGGAAACCACCAAATCGCCTGAGGCGCGATGCCCAGTTCTCATGCGCCCCAGCCCGGTCGTTCCTCGGTGTCAGAAAAAGGAGGCGCGAGTTGCGTTCGGCGGCCGAGATTCCCTCAGGGGCGCGAGTGCTTCGGCGGAGGCATGCCCGGCTCTCTCTCTCTCCTTCTCCTCCTTCCCGACGGCTCGCCAACCGGCGGCTTTTCGGAGGAGGCGCGGCGCGTCACCTCGTCCACTTGCTCCGGAGAGAAGAGCCCTCGCCGTCACGGCGGCTTCCTGGGAGGAGAAAGAGCCGCTTGAAGGGGCGGCGCCTGAGCGCGCGTTTGGAGAGCCGGGTGGCGGCGGCGGCGATCGGCGGAATCGCGGGCCGGGTGTTTGCCGCTAATTCGGTGCTCGGTACCCGGGAGGGTGAGGAGGAGGAGGATGGAGCGCGGCGCGGTTTCCCTTTAAACGCCTGGAGGGGAAAAAAAAATCAGGCCGGTTTGGAAGAAGGAGAGCCGAGGAAAGGAGGCAGGAAATAAAAGGGAAGGCAGCGTCGGCGGATCTTTCAGGTTCTGCTGCTCCCCAGTTCTGGTTGGTCGAGCCGGCTGAGAAAATCCTTGCCCCAAAACGCAGCCCGATCCTCAACCCGGATCCGATTTACAAGGTCTGCGTTAAAAAGATAATAATAATAATCTGGATTTAGAATTCGAAACGCCGGGAGAGCATCCGAGATGGCTCCGAGGAAACGGCACTTTGCGCGGATACGAACTTCTGCTTGTTGCGGCGTCTCCAAATCAAGCATAGGATGGGCGCGAGTTTCCTTCAGGGTAAAACTCGGGCTTGGCCCGAGTCACATTCAGACGGTCTTATTTCCACCACCACCACCACCACCGCCTTCGTTCCGGGCAGTTGCTTGGACTTGTGAGTTTGAAGCGGAGATGGAGCTAAAAGACAAGTCAACAATAATGAACGCCAAAAGAAGAACAAGACCTTTGAATCAGCCTTAGGAGTCTCAACCTTCTCCCCCCCCCGCCACCCCTCCCGGCTCTCTTTCTAATGTGCCCAATAGCACTCTGACTTCGTCTATTTGAATAAGAAACTGACCACGCCTTATTTTCAACTACTTTTTTTTAAGTGCTCCCTTTTGGTCGTTTTCCTTTGCTGTGCCAAATTATGAATTCAAAAATGAAAAAAAAAAAAAAACAAGCTTCCCTGGGTGACTGACAGTCATTTCAAATCCACCGTTAAAATTCTTGCCGGGTTGGGTTGGGTTGGGTTGGGCAACATCTACAGATGGTTTTCTTTTGGCCTTAAATAAGCCGTTAAAACGGAGGAAAGCTAGCCAGGAATATAAGAAATGCAGGCTCTGGCATTCACTATACTTTGCAGCAAGTGTATTTTACTTTCTGCAAAAAAGGAAAAAGCCAGGAACTGTTCTGGAAAACCCATCCAATTAAACACAGTCTTATGGTGGTCTGCTGGAAAGGGGAGAGTTTTGTTTATAGTAGGAGTCAGACTTTTTCCATAGGCTTTCTTGGCTATGAGTTCCTAAAATACCTGCTTTATGCACATATGCATGCCTGCCTAGGTGCAGGCATGCATATGTGCACACCTGGTTAATAGGCTTCATTTAGAGCACAGATAGAGCCTTGGTAGTACAGGAGTTTAAGGCACCCTGTTATTAAGCTGGTTATTAAGACCAGCTGCCTGCAATTACTGCAGGGTTCGAATCTTGCCAAGGCTCAAGGTTGACTCAGCCTTCCATCCTTTCTAAGGTAGGTAAATTGAGGACCTAGTTGTGGGGGCAATAAGCTGACTTTGTATAAATATACAAAAGGATGACGGCTATTGTAAGCCGCCCTGAGTCTTCGGAGAAGGGCGGCATATAAATCAAATTAAAAAAAAAAAAAGATACCTAGCAAAGTCTCTTGGGAGAAATGGTCACCAAGGATTAGTTCAGTGGTGAAATCCAATTTATTTTACTACCGGTTCTGTGAGCATGGCTTGGTGGGCGTGGCAGGGGAAGGATACTGCAAAATCTCCATTCCCACCACACTCCAGGAGAAGGATATTGCAAAATCTCCATTCACACCCTACTCCAGGGGATGGATATTGCAAAATCTCCATTCACACCCCACTCTGGGTCTAGCCAGAGGTGGTATTTGACGGTTCTCCGAACTACTCAAAATTTCTGCTACCGGTTCTCCAGAACCTGTCAGAACTTGCTGGATTTCACCCCGGATTACTCCCATAAAATGTGCATCGGATGTATGGCTGAATTTGAATGGAAAGTGTCGTCATTGTCGTCGTCCCCCCAATCCATTTCCTTGTGTTCACACAACATATTCATGGTTACCCACATTTACTAAACATACTTTTCTGGCTGTATGGACTAGATTCACATAATGCATGTGGGCAACATGCAAATACTTTGTGATGCTTGGTGTGTCAGGCAAACAGCTTTTCAGTGCAGCAGGACGTATTTCTGAATAAAAGTGCATTATTTTAGTTTTCCAATGTTGCTGAATTGGCCAAGCTGGTTGGGACTCCTAACATTTGTAATTTAGTGTCAGAAGAAACATAAGGCCATAGATGTCTAGGCAACATCATGTTACAGTGTAACATCCTTATGCAAATGACAGAAAGGCGGTGTTGTTTTTTTAATTTATTTATTTGTATCCTGCCTTTATTGTTTTACACAAACTGGCAAACATATCCAACACACCTTCCTCTTCCTATTTTCCCCATAACAATCGCCCTGTGAAGCCAACACAGACACAACAAAGTCAAATATATGTGATGCCACGTTTTGTACCAGATTCTTAGTAACTGGCTAGATTACCCTAACAATGCTAAAGGCATAAGTGAGCAAATTGCATCTTGGCGTAGCACGTTCTGTGACACCCCCCCCAGCTGTTGTGGGTTTATAAACCAAGATATCCAGTATAGCATGTGATCCCTGCTCATTGTAATCAATCACAATCAAACAAACCATGACTTGACACGCGTACAAGTAGTCCAGAGGTGGGTTTCAGCAGGTTCTGACCAGTTCTGGAGAACCAGTAGCAGAAATTTTGAGTAGTTCGGAGAACCCGTAGTAAAAATTCTGACTGGCCACACCCGCATCTATTCTCTGCCTCCCAAGTCCCAGCTGATTGGGAGGAAATGGGGATTTTGCAGTATCCTTCCCCTGGAGTAGGATGGGAATGGAGATTTTACAGTATCCTTCCCCTGCCATGCCCACCAAGTCACGCCCACCAAGACATGCCATGCCCACCAAGCCACACTCACAGAACCAGTAGTAAAAATTTTTGAAACCCACCACTGAAGTAGTCCTTGACTTACAACCATTTGTGTAGTGACCAAAGTTACAAAGGCACTGAAAAAAGTGATTCATGACTATTTTTCCCACTTAACAACCATTGCAACATCCTCATGGACATGCAATCAAAATCCAAACACTTTGCAACTGGTTCATAAGTATGACGTTTGCATGTCCTGAGGTCATGTGATCACCTTTTGTGACCTTCTGACGAGCAAAATTAATGGCGAAGCCAGATTCCCTTAACAACCATGTTACTAACTTAACAATCGCAGCGATTCACTGAAGAACTGTGGCAAGAAAGCTCATAAAATGGGGGGAAAGCTCATTAATAACTGTCTCGCTTAGCAACAGGAATTTTGGGCTCAATTGTGGTTGTAAGTTGAGGACTACTTGTACCCAGTCATAATACAAGTTTTCTGAATTTTGGCTTTAGCTGAGGAACTATATGTGTCTCTGGAACTCCCAATATTTTGGCTGGGACTGCTGGCAAATATAGTTCAATTACAGTTGTTTTCCTCTCTTGTTTATCTAGTTATCTTCAGCATGGGAGTCCATTATGTTTTGCAACACCTACAATAACAAGTCACAATTCTGAGAAGTTTGCCCTTTCATCTGAAAAATAGCCATTAGGGGAAAAAAACCACTTCCATATTCTTTCATCAAAGAAATATTAGAGAAATATTTCTCACCCTTGGCAACTCTTAACAATTACTGTACAAACTGTAATTGAACAGTTGTTCAATTACAACAATTGTAATTTTTAAAAAAATTTGATTTATATGCTGCCCTTCTCCGGAGACTCAGGGCGGCTTACAATGCGTTAAGCAATAGCCTTCATACTTTTGTATATTTATACAAAGTCAGTTTATTGCCCCCACAAACTGGGTCCTCATTTCACCTACCTTAGAAAGGATGGAAGGCTGAGTCAACCTTGAGCCTTGGAGAGATTCGAACCAGCAGTAAATTGCAGGCAGCTGTGTTAATAACAGGGTGCGTAGACCACTGTACTATCAAGGCTCTTATTGATTAATTGAAATATAACTATAGGTGGACTTCAATTCACGTGTGGAGATGCAAACATTTGGATTAAGAAATGCTTGTTTCTTTGCCTGTAGACATGGAAGTAAACAAACAATACAATGGAACCTGATCTGGAGCAAGGGCAAGTCATCCTGTGTAGCACTGATGATATTACCTAGTTGGGTGTGAAACATCTGCAAGAAAACACCCAACCTCAAAGAGAATTAAGGACCCCGCAGTTCAACCCTGAATTACAAACATTTTTTTTATTGGTATTAATGCCATTGGTGAAGTAGAGTTGTATATCTGATATTGCATTAAAGAGGTTCATGAACATCAGTTTATGCTTCACCGGGGAACAACAACCAAAGCGGCCCTTAACCAATTCTGGCTGATCTCAGAAAGTGAAACAAGGCAAGACCTGATCAATATTTGTATGGGTAATTCAAATTTGTTTATTACCGATCCTGTGGGAGTGGCTTGGTGGGCGTGGCAGAGGAAGGATACTGCAAAATCTCCATTCCCACCCCATTCCAGGGGAAAGATACTGCAAAATCCTCATTCCCTCCCCAATCCTGGGGGAAGGATATTGCAAAAACTCCATTCCCACCCCACTCTGGAGCCAGCAAGAGGTGGTATTTGCCAGTTCTCTGAACTACTCAAAATTTCCGCTACCAGTTCTCCAGAACCTGCCAGAACCTGCTGGATTTCACCCCTGGGTACCACCAGGAAATCCCTGGGTTGCAGACTAGAGTGGGAAGTCAAAACAAAGTAAAGTAGGCAGTGCCTACCGCCTTCTGTGTTATTGCCAAGAAACAACACACTAATGTTCATCCATACAATCAACAAAAGCTGAGTTCAGTTCAAAAGAAACTTGAATGCTGGAGTCAATGGCGTTTTGGTCTGGTCCAGCCTAAACCTCCTTACATTTTCATGTGCAGGTAGTCCTCAACTTACGATCACAATCGAGCCCAACATTTATGTTGCTAAGGAAGAAATTTGTTAAGTGAGTTTTGCCCCATTTTACTGTGACTTTCCTTGCCACATTGGTTAAGGGAATCACTGCAGTTCTTAAATTGGCATCACTGTTATTGTTAAGCAAGTCTGGCTTCGCCCTTGACTTTGCTTGTCAGAAGGTCGCAAAAAAGAATCACCTGACCCCGTGAACACTGCCACCATCATAAATATGAAGTTGTCAAGCATCTGAATTTAAATCACATGCTGAAATGGTCACAAGTGTAAAAAAATGGTCATAAGTCACTTTTTCAAGTGCCGTTGTAACTTCGGTCACTAAACAAAGTGTTGTAAGTTGAGGACTGCCTGTGTGCACCACAAGCGAAAGCTTCAGAGAGTTTTACTTTCCACCTAAATTGAGACACAAAAATAAGTTTCCCAGGAGTTTAGGTTGAACACCACTGAAGTTTCACAGAGACACTGATTTTCATTAAAGGAAAGATGGACCAAAGAATAGAAGTCTCTTCCTTCTGTTCTTCTTTCTTTCTCTCCCTCCCTTTCTCTCTTGACCGTTGCGCTGTCTGCATTTGTTTTACGAGGCAGCCTCTTGCAAGCGCTGGACCTGAATCAATGCCTTATTATGGTCATTAGTGCTGAGTACTGAGGCACTTAGAGAAGCAACCTGCAGTCGTGTC